GGCTGGCACGGTGCGATGCTGACCTACGACTAAGGCATCTGGGGGAGGCTCATGCCTGAGTCAATAACAGCAGTAATTGTTGTTTATATATCCCAAGTACAGGGGCTTCTGCTGCTTTCCCTGGGGAGGCTGTCCTGCCGATCGCTAGCTTGTTCCCTGGGTGATTTCTCCTTTCCTTTAATACAGTTATTTATTTGAGTGCAGTAGTGGGTAAAGTTCTTAACCAGCTGGGCACTATGCAAATAGCAGAAGACAGTCGTTAGCCTAAACACCTTAGAGTGTAAAATCTGTTACGCTTTGGGAGTTATACCTCCATAAACAAGATTAAACAATTCCTGTTCTTTCTTGGTATTTTAATATAAAATTCAATCATATACATGCTATTATCATCTGTTACTGGAGCTATTTGCTAAGCTACGCTTTTAGCTCTCGTTTTAGATCAATGCCTCCTGTCACCTGAGGGCTTTTGCACCTTCTCTGAACTCCCCCAGTTTGTCGGTATCTTTCTTTCTATGTTTGAATTGTAACCAGTGAGACACATGAAGAAACACCCACGTCCCCTTCCTTTTTCTCTGTGAACTGACTCACTGAATGCACTTTGTGCATGAAAATATCTCTGATGGGAAGGGTATTTTAGGCTGCGTAGCATGGAAAACTTCCCGACTCTTTGTTTTGTGTTCTGATTTTTTTTTTTGTTTGAATTGTGGAAGTTAAGAGGGCAGCTGGCTCCTTTGCCCATGCAGTAGGGTGTCCTGTCACTGGGGACCGTATGCTGAAGAACGGTGTTGCAGAGGCCTTAGTCGCTGCAAGGAGTTGTATCTGCCTCTGTATTGCAGTGAGCCTGGTTGCAGAGATGTATCATCTGAAATGACAGTAACACTCAAGCCTTGAAAAACGTGTACGTTTATGCCTGGTCACTGCTACAGTGCTACAGTGATTTGTGCTGGTGATTATATAGCCCCTCCCTGGGAGGGGGGCATAGATCATTTATTGTACGGCGATTACTGGAGGAGTCGTGCATACCAGGAAGGCAGAGTGCAAAGGCTGGTGCATCTGAGCGCTTTCACCAGCCCTCCTGAGGTCATTTTTCTTACAACTATCAAAAAGATGTACTGTGCCTAAAGCTAACCTTGTGAGCGTGCCCCTGCTGAGCCCTTACTAAAGGGAAGGGCTAGAATTGCACAGAAGTAAAGACCAACTTTCCAGTCACAGGAAGACGGAAAATGATTCTTCTGTACCAGTGGTATGCAGCTTTCCTTGCTGCCTTGTCTCTGTCATCAGGCAGAGGCATAGACCCATGAAGTAACATCATTAGTGTCCTAATATTGCAGCAAGATCTGCACTTCAGCCTGTGATGATCTAGCATCTTCCTCATCGTCTGTCTCGTTTCAGGCAGCTGGGTGATCCTTTCTGTTCCTCTCCCTGCCTGCAGGCTCTTCTCCTATACTTCTTTCAATCAGAAGAGGAGGTTAGAATAACGTCAGTTGTACAGACACAGCTGGATCCTTTAACATTAATGCTGCCTATTTTACTGCGTTCGGAAAGAAGTTTATTGATGTATCTCGTTCATGACAGGCTTAGGCATTGTCCAGCTATATAATAGATGCAGAGGGATAAAACATATTATGATTGTCTTTGTTTCTTTTTTCCGTCTTTTGTCACGGGTCAGCATCCTGCTTCTCCTCCCTGGGATACAGACAGACTATGAACATTGAACTCCAGCATGCTTTGGTTGGAGATGCCTGATTCATGTGCCAAGCCTGATATGGGAAAACCCTTTGCTGAGTCAGCTTTTGTCTCTTTTAGATAGAGAAGTAAACCCGGGAAAATATGAGCATTCATTACCAGTCAATTAACGTTCTGTGGTTCTCTGCATTCCAAAGTCCTTGCTCTATAAAGAAAATAAGCACCTTTGTGTCACGTCTGATGATGCATCTGAATGTTGTTGACTCATTAGTGTTTCAGGGCTCAGCAGAGGAAAGGAGTGCTGAATGGCTCTGATGTTTAGGGCAGGTATGAAGCAATGTTATGTGTTCTGAGTGCAGCAGCCTCTAAAAGCTAAGGCATAGAGGATGGCAGGGCTGGGGTAGTGCAGAGCCTTTTGTTTCCAGGTTGCTAATTCGGCTTTACTGAAGTGCTACTTGAGTGCCCTTGTGAAATGGGGGATTTAGGCTGGGGCCTAGTGGGCAAGTGTCCTCGTGAAACCAGACTGTTTAGCTGGTACCAAACAGGCCTTTGGTGCTGGTTGTGACAGAGAAGCCAAGGGTTTAATATTCCAGAGCACAGAAGTCTCCTTCCTGAAACCAGTCCTTTCATGTAAGGGTTGAAGCATATTTATAAGGCAACGCGGAGGAGCTCACTGCCTACATTTTGAGTGTTCTGCATAAAAATAGAGGTTGTTTGGATATCTCTTCATAGACGTGACGCAGCTTCAAGTAGGGGCATCCTGAAAAGGTTAAGCAAGGTAAACTAGCTCAAATGGGATGCTGAGTTAATGTGGCTGTACTGAGATTGGTACCCAAATCAGTTTAGGTGCCTGTATTCACCGCATGATTGTGCCGTATAAACACATCAATCCTTAGAATCAATGCAGGGCATCTGGTAAAGCACGTTAACTTTTGTGAACTAGGGTTTCAAACGGAGATTTTATGAATGTTAGAAACAGGGAGTTTTTTTAATGTGGAACATCGTCTCTCTTCAGTAATCTCTCTCTCTCTCCTTCTGAAGCTGTACTGTCTTTCTATGAGAGCTCTTGGTGCAAAATGTTAGGTTTATAAGATGAATCTGTGCCCAAACTGAGACAGTTAAATAACCTAATATCGTTCAGAGAAAACTTTGGAGATGTTCAGAGCAGCTTTAAAATTAACATTTGACACGGAAACGTTGGTTGCATTTTCCTTTTTGTACCAGATCTCCTTCCTAATTTCAGGGCGTGCAACCAACAGAAAGCTCATTTAGTTGAGTGCCCTTACTTATTTGTGCTCTTCCTGTATTTATTAAATGCATTCCATTAACTCCAGCCAAGCAACTGTATTTCTTTTATCTGGGCGTGCAAAGCAACAGAGGTGCTTTGGAGCACTGAACCATACACAATGCCATTTGGCTTGCTTGCAAAGACTTTAGGTTGTTTTAAGTCCATTTTTAAGTGCATCCAGGGTGTTTAGCAGTTGCAAATGTGGTAATGAGGACTGTGCACCACATATATTTTGATAGTTGCTTGGCTCTGCAGCAGCTGCTTTTTTAAACTAAGCCTCCCTTGACTCTCTTGAGTTCAGAAAGCAGCTTGGTAGCTGAGCAGTACAGCAAGATGTGATCCTGTGGTTAGTCCTCCTTGGATGCCCACTTTTGCTTACCCAGGGTCCTGTGAAAGTGAGCAGCTTGGCATAGATATCCACCTACGGAGAGTATTTTACAGATGCAACGCATGGAACAATTTACAAAACTGTTTTACGGCTATTCTCCTGGGAGGGAGAAAAGCCTAGCCAACCTTGTAGGACTGCTACAGTAGGAGGATAAGATGCACTTTAAAAGAGAGGTTTCAGAGTAGTCATTTGTCGGCTGTTGTTTTTATCCGCCTATGAAAAGGAAAAAGGATATGTTCTAATGATGATGGGAAAATGACAATTTGTAATGTATCATGCGTTGGTTTTATTATGCTTCCCTATATGACTGAAGTACAGGCATGTTTGCTGTTTTCTTCCTGTCCTTCATCTCCTGCTCTATACTATCTGGCTAAATAATATTTTCTTTTCTATATTGATCTCTGTTGTATTTAAATTTTGGGGAACGCGCCTTAAACCCCATCCCATAGATGCATAGCTACAGTGTGTTGTGTGTTTCCCCACAGGTTAAAAAAAAAAAAACACTGCTAGATCACATCCAGTCATCTCAAAATTAGGTTAAAGCATGGATCTTGTCTACTGTAAACTCGGTGCTCCATCAGAGTTAGGTGAAATATGTGGAGAAGGTACATTTGTAATAAAAATAGATTTTGATAGCCTCAGTATTCTGCAGTCAGTATGATAAGCAAGATCCTAGTGCCTGAGGGAGGATCCTTCAAGAGCCTGAAATAGCCCAGTCAGTAAAGCATCAGCCTCTCAGTTTGAGCATCCAGGATTTGAATTCCTAATCGGATACAGGCAGTGATGTTTATTACTGCAAGAACAACTGAATGCCTAGTAATAAATTTTGATCCTTATTTCCCAGGTGAAATGCTAAGGCGTCTAAGAAATCAGCTGGCACTCAAAATGAGTGTCAATGCTAAATGACTTATATTAAACACCAGATATTCCAGCTCTTACCTCTCCAAGACTCTCAGGGAATGCAAAAAGGATTTCCTGTGTAGAAAGTGTGAGGGTTTAACTTTTAAGTAGTTTAATGTTAGAGCCAAAGAGAAGGAGATAGCATTTCAGGCAGAGGGAGGCTATGTGAGCTCAAATATTTTCTCTTGTGCTCTTGTTTAGAGTATGAAAATACTGTGTTTATGAGTACTTGAGATTTGGCATCTGCTTTTTGGAAAGCAGCGATTCTTCCTAGATATTTGGATGGCTTGATTTGGGCACGCCCTTCCCCCTGAACACACTGGGTAGACAGACATACCACATGTAAACTTGTTTTTCCTTTTTTATAGTTGGCAGTGGATGTCAAATCTTTTCTCTAGGAAATGCATGACCTTTTATTGTGTTTCTTTTGCTTGGTTGGTAATATGTTCTCTTTTCCTTGCCAAAGATAAAGCCACTAACCCATCTAACAGGCAAGAAGACTGGGAATACATCATCGGATTCTGTGACCAGATCAACAAAGAGCTTGAAGGGTGGGTGTCTGAAGCACTTAAACTTAACAATGTTATAACTGAACATTCATAGTGTAAAATATATCCTTTTGTTACTGAAGTGTAATAATTTCTTTTATATATACTGGTATCACAAGGAAGATCTGGTTAGAAAAGAAACAAGGTGCTGCAGAGTTTGGCTTCTCTTCTGTGAAATGCAACATGGTTCAAACCCAACTTGAGTGTTAGGCAGATTCAGAATTCACATTTTCCTATTAAGCCAACTTCTGTAGCTGCAGGGCTCTCATCTAGCCAAACTGATTCTGTTTTTCAGTCTGTAAAACAGGTTTATAACTCTTCTTGCTTGATGAGGCTTCACATCTTTGAAAACCTTTACAAGGCTTAACTCGGAAACCTCCTGGGTCATAGCATTTCTGTGAGCTCAGGAAGGAATATCCCCTTCTGGAAAAAGGAAACTAACGTGCAGAGAGATGAAGTGATTTCCCTGGGACTGTCCTGGGAACTGTTGGGCCCCTCCAAGGAGGAATCTGGATTTGCTGGCTCAGACTGCCAGCCCATGCTTCCTTTAGTGCATGGAAGCACCCCAGCTTAGAGAGATGCCCTGAAGATTTCTTGTTAGCTTTTGTACGCTGATGTAAAGGTGAAAACTACAAAATGGCGTTTCCTTTAACCACGTGAAACACCTCTCATTTAAACAGTAGAGTCTGTGAAAGTCTGCAAAACGCTCATTGTGTTTGCCTGCTTTGTTTATAATGGGCATCTGCTTTGTTTCAGGCCACAGATAGCTGTGAGACTCTTGGCTCATAAAATCCAATCGCCACAGGAATGGGAGGCAGTCCAAGCCTTGACAGTAGGTAGTCCTTACCCCCTCTCTTAAATCCAGTTACATATCATTCGACATCTTGTGTGTGGACTATAAGGGGAGCACGATGTGTATTAGTCATTGGGGTTAGCTAGGGCCAGTTCTGGGGCTGAGCTCCGTGATTCCCCTCTGCTGGAAGGGAGTGGGCAGTGGGAGACAGGGCAGTTACGTAACTGAAGCGTCCAGATTGCTCGTTAGCAGTAGAGCAGTCAGAAATAACTGGTTTAGTTTCATCTGCTTTTGTTTCTTATCTTCAGGCAGGATTTATGTTCACTATTGCCAGCTCTAACGGGGAGATAACTGTGACCCTTGTAGATATGGCTGAGGGTGGGGGCGCAGCTTGTGTTGATGTGTCATTCCTAAAGAAGTAGGATTCACCCCTTGCATCTCAGAGCAGGAATCCCTCTCTCTGGTAGAGGTCCTTCAGCTTCCTTATGAGCAGAACACAGCTATGCTGTTATTGTAGGTTCGGGGTGTTCATTTCACCACCCGTTTCTGTTACTTGAATGCAGGTGCTGGAAGCTTGTATGAAGAACTGCGGGAGAAGATTTCATAATGAAGTGGGGAAGTTTCGCTTTTTAAATGAGTTAATAAAAGTCGTGTCTCCAAAGGTTAGTCCCTGACTTGTTGCCTTACTGCTGTATTTACTTTTTGTCTGACCTCCCTAAGTTACAAGCAGCATCCAAAATGTCACAGGGCTCTGTCTGGCTCATTGCATATATTAATCTATGTTCCAAGAGCATTTGTTAGCTCCGTTTTTTGTGCTCTGATCACTGGTTTTTCTCAGTAAGCTATGCTTGTTTAGTGTCAGTGCACAGTCTTTATTCTATTCTAGTGCTTCATATAACTCAAGGGCTTTTAAAGCTTAGGGTGTTTTTTAGAAAAATCAACAACCCAGCATCAGTGGAGGAGAGGTATGGTGCAAAGGGTCAAGTATGAGATTTGGCAGTACACCGCAGAGTTGTAATCCTCGCTGTGCTGCTGCTGACTTGCTGTGTAAAGACTGCCTGGGCAAATCCCTCCATATCCAGGATCAGGTTAACATGGTGAAAAATAGATAGAAGCACCCCAGAGCATGATTGATACTGTAAAGTATTTCAAGATTTCTTTCCCAAAAGACAGCGTTAGGGGAATATCTATCTTGCTATAATTTTTACATAGCAAAAAATACAAAACTAACAGCATATCTGCTCTTTCTTTTGCTGAAGATGACTGTAAAGTTTCTGCTCACTGTTACTTTGAATACATTAGAGGAGCTTTTTTTCCTCTTAATAAGAGGCATCTTAGCTCGCCTGTGAATATACAGCTTTTAGTGTCCAACGGTGAATTCCCATTCTCTGGGTTTGGACTTTATTCTTGAAGTAAATGAAGAATGTGGAAAACTGATTTCTCTCTTTTTCCCCACTCTCAGTACCTGGGAGACCGGGTCTCGGAGAAGGTGAAAACCAAAATCATTGAACTGCTGTATAGCTGGACAGTGGCACTGCCAGAAGAATCCAAAATCAAAGATGCCTACTACATGCTGAAGCGACAAGGTAGGATGTAAGCTGCTCATTCATGCATTCGCTCTAGCCTGTGCTTGTAAGCAGGAGTGTCGCAAAGTGTGCAGCTTCTAACTACATGGGGGGGTCAAGGCAAGCTCTGAGAGGGGCTAGAACAAGGCAAAAACTCCCTGAAACTTCGGGAAAGCTACTAGTTATATTTAAATATCTTGTGCTGGGTTGGGTTGTTTTTTCACTAGATTAGTTAAATACTTTGTAAGTGCTTTTGTTTTGGCCTTTTTGCATGGCCTTTTTTTAGTTTATCCGGAGCTAGTTATTAAGATTTAAACAAATCCAATTTAAAACTAAATAAAAGCCTCCACATAGCCTTTTGCGTTCTTTTAACCAGATCACTTTGCAATTGTACCTTTAGTTAACCTGATAAAAGTTCCTTGTGTAGGAAAGGTGAAAAAAGCTTAGGAGACAAGCCTTTGCCTTCAATGCACAAAAATCTCTTCTAGGAAAGCTTTTTGGGTAGAGCACAAATCTAGGGATTTGACAATGGAACTTAAGTGTGAAGCTTGGCTCTTTCCCCACTTTGTGGTTAGGAGTCTGCACATCACCCCATCTTGCATGACTGTCTGCTTTCCTGCTCAGCTCTTCTATACAAACAAATCTCATGCCCTTGAGTTTGCACAAAGCTGGATTGTCTGGGGCTTCACATGGTGGTTCAACAGCTTACGTGAAAGGAGAAAAGATAAATGACAGAGAGCTACTGATTATACTGAGCTATTAGAGGAGCAGTATGGACATGGCAACACAGTTGCTGGGGTTTTGGCCTTCATCTAAAGAAAACTTTCTTTATTTTTCCAGCTAGCGTGCTCAGTGATTTTGATGCTGTGTTGTTCATTGGAACGGCGTGCTAGTCTCAATGGACAGATTGGCTGCTTGTTCACTTTGATAGCAGCATGTGAAGAATGGGGTGCACTGCCTGGTGTGACTGCATGTGCAAACCCATGTGGGTTCCCTCTCTGCTTTCAGGAATCGTTATGTTTGATCCTGTGATTCCTGCAGACAGAACCCTGATTCCTTCTCCACCACCTCGTCCCAAAAACCCTGTGTTTGATGATGAGGAGAAATCCAAGGTATAGTGAAGACTTGAATCATAATCACTGACCAAAAGTGATTACTTAATACACATTTAGAATAAGGAAGGAAAGTATACTAATGCATTTTTGTTTTTTGGGAGGTGGTCCATATTTTCACAGAACTCCCAGGTTTGAGTATGACTGCTTTGTCCACCTACCTAACCTGAAATCCCAGCTAGTACCTTGTCTATGTTATGATTATGCTGGTGTTCCCGATTAAAGTGCCACCCAGCTGTAGTACTAGAGGGCAGAGAGCGTGTTTCACAGGCAGTGCCAGAACTGATGTACAGGAGGAATACTGGTCTGGTGTCAAAAGCTTCTGAGATTTCACAGTGTTTGACCTGTACAGAAGTAAGAGTGTAATAACTCGCATGAAATAATAAACCCGTAAATGACTCTTGCTGAAGTCACTGCAACTATGATGGCAGTGTAAGCTTTGTAATAGTGGGCTATATCCCTCTTCCCTGAATTGTTCACTTAAATTCCTCTTGCTGCCTCCCTTTGCTAAGAGGTCTGTCTTTGTTTCCTGAATATTCTCTTCTCATCTTACAGCTTCTAGCCAAACTATTGAAAAGCAAAAACCCGGATGATTTACAAGAGGCCAACAAGCTTATAAAATCCATGGTAAAAGAGGTAAGAAATTCCTGTAGGACTGATCCTGATCAGCAGCCTGCTTTGCAGGTTTAAACAATTTGACCCCCAAACCGGTGGAAAGCTTTATGATCCTGTGAATGGCAGAACTTGGGTGTTTCAGGCTCCGGGAACATTGCGTTAGTGAATTCCTTAGTTAAGCCTCACAGACTGAGTGAGGCTGTCTAGCAGTGACATCCAGCCTTGTGGGGTTGTTTTTCGTTTGTTTAAATAAAAAAAAAAAAAAAACTTCTAAGTCAGCTATCTCCCATCTAGTCCAACTGGTGAGCGTTGTAAGGGAGTGCCGTCTGATAACTTAGTAGGGCTCTGTGTGAAATGAATGAGTTGGTAATTTTGACTAGATCACAAGCGGGAGGTGTTTGGTGTCACAAAAATGTCTACGGTTGGTGTTGCTGTTGGAGGACAGGGCAAGAAGGGGTAAGGACTGGAAGGCATGTTGAAATTAACTACATTCTCATCACTCAAGATGATTTTTCATGTTGGGATTTGGTGGGAGCATTGCAGTACCACCCCTGGTTACTGAGGACTGAGTCATGAGCCTGGGTCTTCTCACAGGCAGGCTTCATGGAAACACCTTCCTGTTTGTGGAGCTGTGATGCATCCACCCATGTCAGTTATTAGAAAACCTGGAGTCCAGGAAATGACTGTGATTTTGGCAAAAGAGAGTAGACTGAAAAGGATGTATAGGTTACTGAAATCATGTTTCCATTCAAGCCTCTTCCCCCCAGGGCAAAGTCTCCTATGTCTTTGGTTGGAATCTCAAATCAGAGGTGATTGGACATTTTCTGCCAGAGACTGTTGGTTGTTTCTAATAAATATTTTGTTTCATATGTCCCTTTTCATAAAATGTCATCAAGAACCGCCCCCCCCACCCCCCGAAAAAACAAAAAAACCGACACCTTCTGAAAAGCTCAGAAAGGAACTTTTGAGAACTTACTGTTTTGAACAATGCTATTTAATTGTGTAATTATTCATTAAAATCTATTTAATGAGACATGTTAGAATTGTGGGATTTCCCAAAATTTTATAAAGGTAGTGAAGAGAGAATTGAATAAGCCAATGCTTCCCATGAATGGAAAATTAAATTTTTTTCTAGTTCAACCTTAAACACACGTTACTTGACATGACTTACAAACGACACCTGCTGCTGCGATACTGTGGACCTTTCTGGAAAACTCACTTTTTATGTCTCTGTTTTACAATCTGAAGGATGAGGCTCGGATACAAAAAGTGACAAAACGCATGCACACGCTGGAGGAAGTGAATAACAATGTGAAGCTGCTGAATGAGATGTTGGTTCATTACAGCAAAGAGGATTCATCAGAAGCTGATAGAGAGCTCATGAAGGTGGGTCTGAGCTGCTCCTTCTTCTCAGAAATCCTGCAGTCAGTCTTTTCTTCTTCCAGATTTTATTGATCTTTGCACAGCGTTACGAACGGTGCAGTAAAATGGAGAGCAGTGACAAGAAACAAGAGCAGTCATTGGAAACAGCAGGAAAGGAAATAATCATGTTTTTAACACCTTTCACCAAAAACTCAGTGCCTTTCAAGGACAGTGAGTAATAGCTCTGTTTTGCACGTGGGGGGGAGCGAGGTACAGCAGTTCTCCAAAGATGCAGTGTAGCAGAATTGAGAAGCTGCAATTTGTAGTGCTCCTACTAGGACACACTGATTGCAGTTAATAATTGTCCCTCACAGCACTCTGAATGAATACACTGAAGGCTGAACCAGGCAGAAAAAAACGTCCTCCCTTCAAAGGAAAAGTTTTAGCTAGTGTTATAAGATCGGGAGATGGTCAAGAAGATGAAAATCAAAACCAGACACCAGGGATGTTTGGATAAACCCAGGTTCTTGAAGATCCACACTTTTTCCAACTTAAGAAATTAAAACTCTACATGTATTTAACAGTAAGCTCCTGAAACGATGGTAAAAAGCTTAAGAAACTAGTTTGTTGCCTGTGAATTAGGGATAACAGCATTTCCTTCCTGCAACCTTTCTTTTGGGTGGCTGCAAACTCTGATTAGAGGTGTAGAGCCTGGAGCACAATTCTGCTCTTCCTTGGGCTTTTAGGAGCTGCTGCAATAGAAGGAACACAGAAGGAACACTTTTGGACTGCAGAGAGAACTGGCCAAAAGTGCTGATGTGAGGGAGGACTGAGATGATGTGTTGAAAGTGCAGATCATGTTTAGGTTCCCAGGCTAATGTAATGCTTCACAGGCCCATTGCTAAGGCAGGGACAGAGGATCTTGGTTGTCCAGCTACACTAGGACATTCAGCCCAGGAAGACCAATTTCTCTGTTCTGGGCTTTCCACGCTTGAGGAGTTATTCTGTGCCGGCTGGTTTTGCTGACAGTAGTCCCTGGCTGATGAGACCCTTTGTTCCAAATCTCTCTTCCCAGGAGCTCTGTGAAAGGTGTGAAACCAAAAGACGGACGTTGTTCAAGCTGGCCAGTGAGACAGAGGATAATGACAGCAGTTTGGGTAAGGAAACCGCACTTCTCCTTTCTGACTGCTGTTGTGACCTGGGGCTTGCAAGGTTGCAGTAAGGGAGCTGCTGCTGTAAAGATGCCTCTTCCGCTGTGGATTCATTTTGCTTTGAACAAGCAGATAAAATAAAAGATCCTTGCCTCTTTAATGCTTACCCTTTAACTTCAAGCAAGGACTTGACAGGAGAGTTGATGGCTAGGGTGGCTGGAGGAGGTAATATGGGAGACAGCCGCTGCTTGGGAAGGGAGTTACTGCGGGGAACAAAGCCTTGGAGTCATGCTCGTTATGGTACAAGCAAGGTCAGGGTCTTGCTTAGAGAAGCAGAGTACTGACAGAGTAATGAAACTCATAGCCAAATAATTGTGCTTTCGCTTGTTAATTGTTTAGCTGATAACTGAGTACTCGCAGCAGGTGTGAAAGCAAAGTTACTAAAGTCTTCGAGGCCTGTTTTGTCTGTCTTGCTTGTAGGGGATATTCTGCAGGCCAGTGATAATTTATCCCGTGTGATAAACTCCTATAAAAAAATAATAGAGGGGCAAGTGGTCAATGGTGAAGTGGATCTCCCTGCGATGTCTGTAGCAGAAGGTGAGTTCCTGGGATACCAACTGTTTCATTTTGAATCCTGCAACCTTAAATCTTTTGGACAAGGTTTCCCATTAATTGCAGTTAAGTAGGATACTGATGGTTCTTCTGGCCAACAGCTGGTGAATCAAAGGGGGACAAGACAGCTCCCAAGCAGTATGCACTGATGGATAAATCATTCTGGATATGAGCAACAGTGCTGCGGGTTCGGATTTTCCTTTGCTGGTTGTTTACTATTAAAAACTTAGATAACGTCAGTAACAAACCTGCCTCTGAACAATTTGTGTGGCTGGAAGTTTTCCTTTTCACTTATGTCCTGTCTCTTAACAGTACCATATAAAAAGAGGACAACTTTATCTAAAGGATAAGAGCAGGGGAGTGGGAGTCAGGCCAAGGGTCCTGTTCCTGGCTTTGCCAGCAATTCCATGTGTGAAGTTAGGCCAGTCACCCACTTTACACTTCAGTTTCACCAGTGAAAGCTCTGGATGTGTTTTGTGTGGCAGAATCACCTCTTGGGAGTCACTTCAATGTTTATGGATGAAAAGCAGTAGAATAAATACATAATGCTGACAGCTTCTTGTTGGGACAAGATTGCTGTAAATATGAAGGGAATTCTAGACCCAGACAGAAGGTATATATTTCTCTTGACACGCTAGCTCTCTGGTAGCCTCTGTTTATTGTAAGTCTGTAGGGTCTCCCAAAGTCTCATCTAGGCTCAAAAGATTTAGAAAAGGCTGCGAACTCTGCTACAAGAAGTGCTGGGGAAAGAACAGTGGCTAACGTGCGTGTTGCTTTTCAGACAGATGTTTCCCAAGTATCTGGGTTGATTTAAGCAGCTTGTGGACAGCAGGTGGTTAGGTGGAAAGCATTTGGGTTTCCTCTGTTATAAGGAGCCCTAAGCAATGATTAAATGGGGACCATGTTACTTCTTGTGATAATTTCTTCTGTACACTGTGCTTGCTCTGAGCCTTTTGCCTTCTTCCCTAGTAGTGCTATTCTCCTGTCCGCTGCAGGGAGTGACTCCACAAGTAATCTCAACACCCTCATTGACCTTGCTGGATTGGACGTCACTAGCACCCCGCCACCTCCTATGCCACCCACCACACTGACGCCAGCCCCCCCACTAGCTCCCCCCCCAGCAGAAATCCCCATTCTCCCGCCTCCTCCCCAGACGTTCGCTCACTCCCGGAGCAGTTCCTCTAGCCAAGTGGAAGCCGCACCCGCTCAGCCGAGCAGCACGGCCAATTCCCTCTCCTTGCTGGATGAGGAACTTCTGTGCTTAGGTAAGAAACTGAGGGGCCCAGAGAAAGGGCTACTCAATCCATGCCTAACAAAGTCCACTTCTTTCCTCCAGCATGAGTGCTAAGGGCTGACTGCGCGTGTAGCGTGCCTAAAAGGAGCATGAGATATCTCTGATTTCTGCTCTGCCCGATTCCTCCTGCCCCTGGCTCATCCAGCAGGTTATTTAGTGAGCCCTAGGAAGCTGCCCTAGCTCTGCTCTGGATCTTGGTGGAGCCTGTCTGAAGCTTCCAGTCGTGTAACAGGTCCAATGCATGCTGAGGGAGGGTGGAGGGAGCCTGGTTTCAGATGGGCAGCTGGGAACAGTGATATGTGCCGTTCACAAAACATGAATGCTGGGATGTTCTTCCTTGCACTAATTCTGGTCAGCCCTTCGTGTCCTCAGGTCTGTTATTTCTAGACAAGTCTGGGGGATTTCTGAGACGCTCCTCTGCATCACTCTGATTATAAAACTAGTCTGAGCCGGTATTAAACAACTCTGATGTCTCCAGAGTAGGCTGCAAGTAAATTGAGCTGAGTGTAATCACAGTCTGATCTCTGTGGGTGCTTGGACATGCAGTGTACCCCTGCTGCGGTTTGGTACAGGTTTCACAACTGACTTAGCAGCTGTGCTAAAGAGCAAGGTGTTTTGGAAGGGTTATTTATGGGACTCTGCAGACCGTCTACCTGTGGAGCCCTGATACGAATAGCAGGGGAGGCTGCAGATAAGAAGGGTTAGGAGAGCCACGTGCAGGGTTTGTCTGTTGGCTCCTAGTGCTGTCAGTCTCACCATAGACTTGCAACATGTTTCAGTCTTTCTTCGGGTTCTTAGGCTCTGGCAGAGCTGAATCAAGTAGTTTAATGGTACTGAAACAACTGCCAAGGGATAGCATCTAACTCATTTTCTCCTTCAGTTACCTACTCGTTATTTTTGCTTTCAGGCCTGAATGATCCAGCCCCTGCAGCAGTGAAGGAGACATCAGAAAACAACCAGTGGAGCATGTTTGAGGTACAAGGGAATTTCTCTCTTGGGGTGGGGGGGGGTGCCATTGTGGGAGGTCTCCGGACACAAACTGCCACCTCAGAGAAACAGGTGATCACTTGTAGAGGCAGAGGCCCAGCTGCTTCTGAGGGGAAGTCTAGCCTAGCCCTGAGATCTGGGATAGCTGTGTCCGAACAGAGTAGATATCCCTCTGTTAAGCATGGCTTTCTCAGATTCCAGTCTGTCCCCCATGATGTTAGCGCTTCCTTTGCTTAAATTACAGATCGGATGTAGTCCTGACAGAGGCCACAGGCTTCGCTGCTTGCCACCAACCACCCGTTTTTGTGATAAATCTGTCTCCCTCTAACAGTGCCACTTCTGCCATAGGGGGCGGCAGTGACTTAGAGCATGTACTCGTCCTCTCTTGCAGAATGACCAGTTGGACCTGGATTTCTTTGGTCCGAAGATGGCGACTGTTGCTTGCAACCCTGCAGGGAACCCCCTTCTCCATCATACATCACAGCCCGCATGTGGGACATCAGTGACGCTGCCCTCTGCTTTCACAGCCTCTCAGACTGCTCCCAGCATCCCCGCACCAAACTCAGCCCCATTTGTGTTCTCTGCTGGACCGGCTGCCCCTGTGGGGCCCCTTAAGACTATGCCAGCTGCTCCTGGGTACTTCAGCTCAGCTGTGGGAAACAATATGTCCAATAAGATGGATGCCCTGGGACAACTCCTTGAAGAAGTCAAAGGGTAACTAACAGTCCTGGACTTTGTTTTGTTTCTGTGGTTAGGAAGTGAAGCTAGCTGCAGTGTGCCACCTTCAAAGACAGATGCATTCAACATTCTGGTTTGGTAGAAATTTGTGATTGGGATCTTTCTTCTCTGAGCATCTCAATTGACAAACTAATACGAGGGTGTCCCGGCTCTAGCAGGGAAAGGCAGACAGTGCTAGGTAGAACACAGCAGCTGTTTACTCCTGCCGGGCTGTGCTGTTCCCTCATGTATGTGAGCAGTTGTTAGGCTGAGCAGACTGCTATGGTAGTATGTATGGTCTTTGCCAATCTTAGCTTTGCCTACCTTTGCTAAGGTGGGGCTCAGCCTTCTTCCCGACTTGGAGAGAGTGATGCCTGTATCTCCACCACCACAACTTTCCGTGTAGCTCTGCTTTTTACATGAGTCCTTATTGGGTCGCCAGACTGTCACCTGGTTGCAGGCTGTTGCTTTGCCCTAGTGATTCAGGGTTTACAGTGAAATGTCTGCTTCACATTCAGCTCAGTTTTCCATGTTTTTTCTGTCTCCTTTCCAGGACTACCACCCAAACCACCCAAAGCATGACTACACCTTCATTGTTCCCTGGGGTTACTTTGCCAGCCACTTCCACCCCGGCCCCGTTAATAGCCCCGGCAGGGCTGCCAGTCACTGCCCCCGGAGCCCCTCCAATTCCTTTCCCAGGCAGCTGCGCTGCTGGCTCAGGAAGCCCTCTCTTCCAGTCAGCATCGTTCCAGCAGCAAGGCAGCCCCATGAAAGCACCTGAAATTTCTTTGGCCAACGTCCATGTTCCCTTGGAATCCATTAAACCCAGTAAGTATCTCAGATTTTTCACCTTTCTCTGAATGTTTTTTTTTTTTTTTAAAAGCAAAGCTTCCTGACAAAGGTCCTCAGGTGGAGAAAAGGGTCGAATAATGAGATATTTCAAGCAAACGGTCAGATTGCCTAACAGTGCTACAGTTAGTCTTCTGCAGTATAAACCTGCATTTGTCTCCTCTTCTCTCTTTGCGGCAGGCAGTGCCCTCCCAGTGACAGCCTATGACAAGAACGGTTTCCGGATCCTCTTGCACTTTGCCAGGGAGTGTCCACCAGGAAGGTCGGATGTGCTAGTCGTCGTAGTGTCAATGCTGAACACAGCACCCCTTCCTGTGAAGAACATTGTGCTGCAGGCTGCTGTACCGAAGGTAGGGGTGTGCAGCACAGACCCAGGGCAACGTGGACCTGCAGGTTCAGGAAGGCCTGGGTATGAACTCAGGGACTTGGATAGAACAGCCTCCCTGGTCCTGCCTTTCTACCTGCTCTGTTCTACCTGTTGCCAAAACATAAAGGTGGTTGTCAGAGGCAGAAAACACTGAATAGGATAAATTAAGAACTGCAGTTGTGAGTGTTTTCTCTTTCTTGCCATCTAAGATCAGTCCTGCTCAGCACAGTGACAAGACTATTACAAGGATAGAGCCATCCTTGAGGTCTGTGAGAATCAGTTTCTAAAAGACATCCTAAATCTGAAAATATATTCCATTTTGGTCCTGCCTCTCCCAGCTAATTTTGGATGGCTGATTCATGTTTTGAATACTATCCCAAGCTTGGCTATGATCTGCCTATAATTGTGAAAGCATCTGCATTAAAACCTCTGCCACAAGAGCACTCATACAGGAAGGTGCTACTGGGCTTTACCTGGCCAGTGCACTCACTCTGGGCTGACTTGTCAATCTGCATATCATGTTGTGCATGCTGGGCTGGCTCATGTCTCCCTCATCCTCCCGTTTGGATTTGATTCTCTTCAGCTTGGATGTGTTAATCTCACCAGCCTGTGTGTACGTCTTTCATTGTCCACGAAGCAGAAGATAATCCCTGAGATTCCGCTTTCTTTTTCATTTGTAGTCCATGAAAGTGAAGTTACAACCACCCTCTGGTACAGAGCTGTCTCCATTCAATCCCATCCAGCCGCCTGCTGCCATCACCCAAGTCATGCTTCTGGCAAATCCTACAAAGGTGAGACGGGGCAGTCAGTCATGAAGTGGGATTCATCCTGTCCTTGTCAGACAAATTTCATGTGAACTGAATTCTGCAGGTGGTTTGGACCAAATATTTGAGCAGATACAGCTATTTATTCGTAACCTGCCCTCCAGAGGTGGTCATCGCAGGAGTGTATTAGTGGTGTTTCAGTTCAGGGCTAGAGGGAGACTGATTTCCTCCCCCC